TTATTCAAAGTTGGTAAGACAATATAAATGTTGCAAACTAGTTTTTTTTACTAACATGTTCAACATATCATTTCAAAAACTACTTTGCACAAGCTAACAACATGTAATCAACAAGTTTATAACATGATGTTGCAACCTTGTTTAAGTTATTGTCAATCAGGATGATTATGAACACTTATTAAACATTTTTGCATCACAGAAGAAAACTGTTAGCCTAATCACTACTTTTTTTTTATCAGAACATTATACTGTCTAGCTTCCTGGAAAAGTTAACGACCTGATCAACTGGACTTTTGGATTTATGGATTTTTGCCTAACCTTTGGTTTTTCTAAAAATATATCTAAAATGAATTTGTTAAGAACCATTACAGTGTCTTCATCACCAGATTCTTTTTTTTTTCCTTGAAGATGTTTTACCGGCTCAGTTTTGCAACTGAATCAAATTAACACATTATATATCTCTATTGTGTGTGTGTTTTTTCACCTTTTAGCAACTTGATACTGATGTTCATTTTCAACCCGCTGTTCATAGCCACCCCTGTTGGTGGTAAAAGTTGTAAACTTGTAGTTGATGCAAAATATTCAAAACCTGTCAAAAGACAGATGAGCACGAGTATCATTTTTACCAACAAATCTTGTCCTTGTGAAATACATTCAAATTTTCAACATGTTCTCTCATTGAATGAGCAAACATGTTGCAAACTTGCTTGGACATAACTTATTTTTTTTTTTATGTTTTAAAGTTGTATCCACTTAATAAGGACAAGTCTAGTAAACTGTAGCATTTTTTTTTTTTGCCTGTTAACTTTCCATTTCTAAACTGTAAATAAAGTTTAATAATTTTTATATATAGTATTTTGCTTGTGGCTTTGTACTGAAATTTGCAGTTTACAACATAAGCTTTAAAAAATAAAAGATCAAATACCAATATAAAATGACATATATAAAACGCTTGTTAGGAAATATAAACATTCAAGAGGAGAATAAAGATACTAAATAACTAGTAATGTCTTGAAATTTAGTTAATAGAATGATTTTTATTTCCTTTATAAGTATTTAACTAATTTAATGTTTTAATACATATTTCAATAACATTTTTAATAACTTGCTATATGTTTAAAAAAAATAATAAATAACCAACTTGCTACAAAAACAGATTGATCGGTTTTGGATATATTCTAAATACCATTATGTATATAAATACAGTGTTTACAAGAGTAATTACAGTATAAAAGTTGCATTTGCTGATAATAAAACATTTATAAGTGTTAAAATCAGAGTTAACAGTTGTAAAATAGGACATTTTTAAAAAAACCCAAATATATTTTGGTTTTTTTTAAGGTGGATTTTTTTGGGTTGGGTTTTTTTGCCAACCCTGGTTAGCCAGAAACTTCTTTTAGGAATAGCACTAAATATTTTAGAGAGTTATGAGAACTGTGCTTTCTCTTTTTAAAATATTGATTTTGGTATGGTTTAGTTTACACATTGTTAAGATTTAAAATTATCTTGATTCAATATAAAGGAGATAAACTTTTCTCTACAGGAGATAAACTCTTCTCTACAGGAGATAAATGACCCTTTAAATCCATTAGAAAGCAATATGCTTGGAAAAAAAGAGGTAATTCTCACTCATAATACAAAAGAATTTTACAATTGCAAGCATCTATTAACCATCAATCATCAAAAGCATAAACCACTACTACCAGAAGATGATGAAACTAAATTGTTGAAGTATACCTGAAATATACCTAAACTTCATCTCTATACAGAAATGATCAATCTATTGTGTAATAACTTAGCAACAAAATGGAAAAAATAAAGATGGGAAATTTTGCTTGAAAGGAATCCCTTGTCAAAAAAAACTTGAGGGAAGCATGAAGGAAACCAGTGTAGATTAACAAGCTTAGAGATGCTCAACCAGAAGTTGAGAAAACACAAAAGATGTGGTCCCTTAGATTATATATTTTTTTATTGCTTGTAAATTTTGTAGATTTTTTTATTGCTTAAGATATCAAAATAAAAAGTATTGAGTCATATTCAAAATAATATTAGAGATGTTTAAATACAAAAAAATAACCATAAATGAGTTTTGTAGAAACTATTCAATCAAGAGTTTTCCACCAAACATTTGCACCAAGAAATTATTTAGAATTAATTAAACTAAAGAATTAGATAAGAGAGAAAAAGAATTAATTAAATTAAGAAATATTTCTACCAAGAAAAATACAAAAAGGATATACTATGTGTTGCTTACATTTCTTACAATACAAAGAGAGTTTGTGTCTTAAATATTTTCAGTTTATATCCTGCGATGAACTGTTCAAACTAAAAGCTTTTTTGTTATTGATTTTGATTGAATTTATTGATCAAAAATATATTTTAATGATGATATTTATTAGAAGATTTTAAGAGTTTATAATTTAAACTACCATTACAGTTTAAATGTAAATTGTTTAACGACTTTGTCAGGTTTTTGTTACAACCCTATTTATTATTTTTTTTTTTTTTGTAATTTTATTCAAAAAAGCTGTTTTTCTGTTTCTTTTAATGAGAAAAATTTAATATTATATATATAAATACACACACACACAATCCAGTTTTTTATTTTTACACAAATCTGGTGTTTCAGTACTTTTAGCATTTTTTTATTATATTGGTCAATTCTTCACTATTCAAATTTTTTCAAAGAAATTTTTTACATTTGTTGTAAACTCATTTACAGCTGTTGCATAAAAAATGTATTCATAAATTGAAATATTGTTTCAAACCAAAAAAAAACTTTTTTGGTTCAAAATACTTAATACATATAATCACTGAAAACAAGTATATTTAATCGAAAAAATCAAAAGCATCAATATTAGTGAAATTTTTGAAACTAAATGATTTTGTTCAGATTTGTATTGTCCAGAACTATACAAAAAAAAATTCTTTTGTAAAATATAAATGCATTTACTTTGCTAAAAACAACTTTTACATTATTTTTAAACATTATCTGTATTTACAAATGTGATTTAATTTTTTTTTTTGTAAAAACAATCAAACATAGAATAATTATGAAATTTTAATTCATTCAAATTATTTCAAATTAGTTGATGTAAATTCTATTTTTAAAGTTTACAAATGCCTAAAACCTTTACTTTCGTAGAAGAAAGAATTATGTTAACACTTGCATTTACACTTAGATTTATACTTGCATTTACACATTTCATTGAATTCTAATTATTCTATTAGATTTACATTTTGTCAGTGAAAAGTAATTACTACATGTCTCAAAAAATTGTGATTTTCAAATTTTAAAAAGTAGCTCTTTACTATTTTTTATAAAATATATTGCTAATAGGTAAAATAGAAGGTATAGCCAATTGAACTCACCTTTGCAAGATCAAAATATTTGCACTAGTTGCCTCAATTTTCAAATCTTTCCAGCAATGACTCAAAAGTAAATCACCCACATGCCTGCAGTAAACAAATCAGAAAAGGCCATTATCTAATTCCTTCTAAATAGACACACATGCAGTGATTCTCTTTCCTGAAAATGTATATCATTACAGTGTATTTGTATGATCTTTATTCAGATATTTTATATTGAAACCATTATCAAAAACTATTCCAATAACATTTATTTCACACTTCCATTCTCTAAAAAAGTTTTTTAGTTGTCTTCGCTATGATGTCTTTAAGACATTTACTTTCTTTAGTTGATTTTGCATGTAGGAGAACACCAAGAAGCTTTGTTTCATCAGCTCCAGACACAAAGATTTGCAATTGGCCATTCATTCCTTTAGAATCAAGAGTATTTACAAGTTTTCTATCTGAATACACCAGCATTCATCTTGCTTTCCTGATTTATATAATTTGCAATCTTTAAAGTGGTTTGCCAATCATTATCTTGCTCTAAAATCTTTATCTTTTCTCTTCCAGTAACTTCCAACTCTTATTAGTGGTTGCTTGCAGGCTTGTTAGAAGCAAAGATGTTTAAAAAAATAAATTAATAAATAAAGGTCAGAGTTACCACAAAAATTGCACAATCTTCATGAAATTTCACAGGGATGCTTTTAAGACCAATATGCAAAACTAAAATTATGAACAGCCTTCTATGATAAAATTTAATGTTTTGGGGGCAGCTGTCATACTCTAATATTTATACATCTATATCTATCTATCTATATCTATATCTATATCTATATCTATATATCTATATATATATATCTATATATCTATATATATATCTATATATATATATATATATATATATATATATATATATATATATATATATATATATATATATATATATATATATATATATATATATATATATATATATATATATATATATATATATATATATATATATATATCAACCCTTGGAATTAGGGTCAGCATTTGACAATGCCAACCAAAAAGTGTTTGAGGTTGGAAAAAAATTGCTGACCTCATTTCTATCATAACCCTTTACCATAACCCTTTTGTTTCAAAATTTTTGCTGACCTGATGCCGGACTCTAACAGTTTGAGGTTGGCAATTTATTGCTGACTTCAAACTGTTAAATTCCGAGGGTTAATATATATATATACACACATATATATATATATATATATATATATATATATATATATATATATATATATATATATATATACATATAACCCTCGGAATTAGGAAAAATGGGGTCTGCAATTTTTTCAAAAACTATTTGATACAAAGGTCTGACCATAAAACACAGAAATGAGGTCGGCAATTTTTGCCAACCTCAAACTTTTGGGTTGGCATTGTCAAATGCTGACCCATATTCCAAGGGTTGATATATATACATATAAATATATATATATATATATATATATATATATATATATAACTATATATATATATATATATATATATATATATATATATATATATATATATATATATATATATATATATATATATATATATATATATATATATATATGAACAATAATTGAAAATAAATAAATATAAAATTAAGAAACACTTACAAGTTGCAGGTTGCAAATCCAAATAATCTGAAACTATTTGATTAAAAAGCTCATCTAAAATAATTTAGTTTAATATAAATTGTTAATGAAGCAAAAACAAAACTTTCATTATTTCTTACTATCTTAGTAAAATTATATAAATTATACATTTGAAATAATAATTTTTCAATTGTGAAGTCCTAGGCTAATTTTAGTTTAAGGCCCTAACTTATTATCAACTATTTAACAACTTATTTTCTAAATTTTTTTTGTGAAGTAATTTTTTTAAAGTCATAATTACTTCTTTCAAAGAAATTAGATATATTTAATTAAACAAACAAATAACATCCTAATTTTAAATAGTGACTAATTGATTTATCTAAAGATGCAGAAGTCTAAATACTAAGTGTTAATCTTATTATTCATCAAAATTTTATGTGTAAGATAAAAATTTTTTTCCATCTTTTCTTTTGTTTGATATAAATTTTTTTTTCTTCTAGATTTGGAAGAATAATTCTATCAAAAGTCACCAAAATCACTACCTGATATCATCACCTAAAAATTATAAAACTCAATAACCAAACACCACCCAAACAGCAATAATTTTAACACCAAACTTTGGAACTTAATCATTCATCAAACACATGTAAAAAAAGCTTGCTTGTAGTGCAGTAATAGCAGTGATCTTGATTTCTGTTATAAAACATCTAAAAATTGGATTTACCAAATCTTCCATGAAGAAAACTAATAATATTCTGAATAAATGTCTAATATATCTTAGCACTGAATATTTTGCTATAAAACTTAGTTTCTCTGGCTAGGCTACATTTTTTCATTGAAGCAATAGATAAATAAGAAGGACTCTTTTTTGACAGTGAAATAATTTAGCTTTATGGTTATAACACTATTTAATAAAAAGAAGATATCAGGGAGTTAATTAGAACTATAACTTGAAGTCCAAATAAATCTTATCTACTTTCAGTAGTCCAAATAAAAAAAAAAACTCTTCAAAAAATCATTAATTTGTCTAAAAAATTCTTAAAGAAATCTTAAAGAAGTTTTAAAAAGTATGCAAGAATGACAACTGATGAAAGACAACTGATGAAAGACAACTGATGAAAGACAACTGATGAAAGACAACTGATGAATGACAACTGATGAATGACAACTGATGACTGATAACTGATGAATGACAACTAATAAATGACACCTGATGAATGACAACTGATGAATGACAACTGATGAAAGACAACTGATGAATGACAACTGATGAATGACAACTGATGAATGACAACTGATAAAAGACAACTGATGAAAGACAACTGATGAATGACAACTGATGACTGACAACTGATGAATGACAACTGATGAATGACAACTGATGAATGACAACTGATGAAAGACAACTGATGAATGACAACTGATGAATGACAACTGATGAATGACAACTGATAAAAGACAACTGATGAAAGACAACTGATGAATGACAACTGATGACTGACAACTGATGAATGACAACTGATGAAAGACAACTGATGAAAGAAAACTGATGACTGACAACTGATGAATGACAACTGATGACTGACAACTGATGAAAGACAACTGATGAATGACAACTGATGAAAGACAACTGATGAAAGACAACTGATGAAAGACAACTGATGAAAGACAACTGATGAAAGACAACTGATGAATCTCAACTGATGAAAGATAACTGATGAATGACAACTGATGAAAGATAACTGATGAATGACAACTGATGAAAAACAACTGATGAATGACAACTGATGAAAGACAACTGATGAAAGACAACTGATGAAAGACAACTGATGAATGACAACTGATGAAAGACAACTGATGAATGACAACTGATGAAAGACAACTGATGAATGACAACTGATGAAAGACAACTGATGAAAGACAACTGATGAAAGACAACTGATGAAAGACAACTGATGAATGACAACTGATGAATGACAACTGATGACTGACAACTGATGCTGAGGCTTTAGAATTAAAAAATTATAATAGTACATGTAATCTGAAAATAAAACTTTGTTTTGAAATTAAAAATTAAATTAAAAAAATTGAAATTAAAATTGAAATTAAATTGAAATTTAAAAAAATATAACAATTTTTCAATTACAATATATTGAAAATAAAGATGACTTGGAAAAAACTACAAAATTGAAGAATGGAGGCAAATAAAACCCAAAAGATTTATGGATAGATTTTTAAAAAAACCATTATACTAATGTAATACTATCTTGAACTAAACCAATAAACTTCAAATTATTTTAAAACACTCATTAAAAAGTTGTGGATATTTAAAACCAACAACTTTTTTTTTTAATTCTTAGCGAACAAAGCTGATTTCTACTATGAATAAATCATATTACTATAATGAAAGCCTGTTACCAGATTTGACCAGATTTTAGATTTAGCCAGATAAAAAAGTTAATAAACAAAGTATGAAAAAAATACCAATATTTTCTCCTGTTTTACTCGATGTCTCGAAACTCTTCAAATTAGCTAATTCAGCAAAATCTTTTGTATCATAATAGTCAATAGGACGATTTTTCTCATCAACAAGATCTAACTTTGTCCCACATAAGTAAACTTTGCATGTCTGAAATAAAAATTATAAATTATCATAATTGTCATTATCATCAACATCATCATCAACATTATCAAACAAGGAAAATCAATAAATTTAAATAAGAATCTATTTTAATACACTTAATATACTATTTTACTTATATTACCTTGGCTAACCATGTAAGTGCAAAATAAATAAGTGAATTATGATTTTTTTTTTATTAGTCTAAATTCTATAATGAAAGTTAACTATTGAACTAATACTGAAAAAGTAACAAAAAATTGCAGATAATTTTAATTTTTTATTTTATATTATTAAAACTTATCTGGTTATCTGGGAATTGTCAAAACCTATCTAGTTATTGGACTACAGTATGAATATGCAGTAATATCAACAAAAATAGGTTTTGAGTTCAATTAATAGTCATACACAAATTTTCACACAAACCACTGTCCATAAAAAATAATATTGTTTTTTTTAAAATACCAATTGTGTTATTAACTAGATCAGTTTAGATGTAATATAAAACAACCTATAATATAAATAATAAAAAAAAATCATACTGGTTCATGCAAACGTACTTCATCGACCCAAAATTTTGCTCGTTCCCAGCTAGAGCGATCTGTTAAGTCTAAAATAATACATAACTATCAACATAATATTAAAGAAACTTTTTTATTTGCATAAATAACACCCTTATAAATAATTTTTTAATAAATTATTTGGAAGAATACAATATTATAAGAATACAATAAACAAAAAAATTTTTCATTTAAAGTAATTGGACAAACAAAACCCTTTAGCGAAAGGTGTCATATACCAATCAGATCTCATAAGATAGATGACCAAGACATACAACTCTAGAAATACAATTCTTGAACAAAAAACAACATTTCTCAGTGATCAGTAGTGGTCATTGTTTAAGACAATTGTAGAGTTTGTCTTGCAGATTGTTGAAAAAAAAAAAAAAAAAAAAAAATTCCTAGAGGACTTGTGTCTATGCTTTAGCTATTGGGTGTTTGTTTCAACAAATCCAATTAAAGACCAATTTTACAAATTCTGGACTAAATGAATAAATTTTAAGTTTAGAAACTCTAACAAAAGACGGCTTACAAAAAGCCAGTATTAAACTTCTTCTTCAAGAAATAAATAACATTCCCCTTTTATTTCTTGATTAACAAAGTTTCTAGCTAATTGTTTGCTGGTTGATAGATGTGTTATTTAAATTGATTACAATAATTTAAACAAAGATATTTTAAAATATTTTGCAAACTAATAACAATTATTAATAGTTGCATACTTATTATGAAATGTTTCCCACAGTAAAAAGTTACATACTTGATTGCTATTCATTAAAAAGACATTTAGATCAGGTCATGACACAATATATCCTAATCATTTCCATCATCAACCCTAATTTTATCTAACTTTTTTCTAATAATTATCAATTTTTAAATATTCAAATATTTCTATTAATTTGGGGTCCAGTTAAAACTTTATAACGATATCCAGTTAAAAATTTATTTCAGTTAAATATTTACAGCATATACAGTTAAAAATTCAACAAATGTTACCTATGGCACACATAGATTGTGTGCCATAAATAACATTTGTTTTTCTAATTTATCACAATTAACTAGTACTTTTTGATAACTAAATGTTTTTGAATAAATAGTGAAGATAAACTTGTTCAAAATAAATAATTATGTAACAAAATAATAATAATTTTGAGTTATACAAATGTTTAAAAAAAATTTTGAATTTTTTTTCAGTCAAGGCTTGCCTTTTCCACTTTTTCTTGGGTCTTGAAGTCTTTATTATATACATTGCAATCTATAGACTGGAAAACTTAAGGCGCACTTAATTTATAACAGTTTCAATACATGATGTCACTGTGGATTGTTTTTTTAAGATACGGAAGTATATTTGTCAGACAATCAGAAAATTATATTTATTTGTATAACTTTTCACAAAATTCTAAAAAACATTTATAATATAATTAAAAATAAAACAATATATTTGATTAAATACATAAATAATCATGTGAAAAATATATATAATATATATTTTTTTCAAATGAGATATATTAGTTTAGTGCAGTGAATGTTCTATTGCTTTACTTTTGAGGCACGGCAGTCTAAGTACAGGGTTAAAATCCTCCAATGGAAACAGTTTTATTAAATTTTAAATGTTTTATTAAAGTAGTTTTATGTTTTTTAACTAATTTGTTGTTTATTTATATTATATTTTTGTTAATTATAGTTTAGGTAGTCGCAGTTGAGTGTATATATACCGACTGACTTACATAGGAATAGGTTACTTAGGGATAGGTACAAATAATAATTAAAAAAGCAAGTAAAACAAAAAAGTTTTTACCAACAATTGTACATTAATAACCTTTTTTCTACTTTTACCAATAACCATTGCAATTTTGTCACTTGAAAAAAACTTAAAACAGATAAAATAAGAAATACAAATTTTACAAAATAAATTTGACATAATATATTCTTACACGAACAAATAATATATATTTTGTTAAGATGAGAAAAAACATTAACTTTTTAATATAAAAATCTAGACAAATATTTATATTTACAATTGTTAAAAAACTTTTTTAGGATTTAGTAAAATTATACAAATAAACATGATTTACTGATTGTAACAGAGAAAATACTTTATTTTGAAAAAAATAAATAAATCCATAATGACAACATATACTGAAACTGTTATAAATTAAATAAATTATCCTATCGACGCAAAATATAAAGATCCAAAAACCAAGAAAAATTGCAGAATGCTTGCTTACTTAAACTAAAACCACTTTTTTTTTTTTTGATACAAACTTAACTTGGGCATCTCTTTAATCTCTAACTTAAATATTATTAAGTAGTAATTAAAAACAGATTTTAAATAACCACCCATTAAAATAATTAGAAAAAGTAACATAAGTTTTAATAAACAGCAAATAAAAAAAACACTGTTTTTTGCATTTTTTTGTTAGGATTCATATTAAAAACTGTGTTTTTAACAACTTAACAAGAAAATAAAAGAAATTAACAAAATTTATTTTGATAATTTATACCTGTAAATTACTTTTAGCATTAAGATACTTGATGGTAAAAGAGATTTTTCAAAATATAACATTAAGATATAAGCGTTTAATTCATCAAAAAACTTTTAGTATTAGTTATCAATATTAAAATTAAAACCAAATATTAAAATAAAACCAAAATTAATTACTCTTTTTTACTTATACTTTTAATTAAAATATTTAAATTAAGTTTAATATGCAGCATGAAAAATAAAAAATCGAGGACCATCAAGTAAACTAACATAAATAAAGTTTTTTTTTTGTTAAAATAAATGTTTTTCTGCTAATTTTTCAATGTAAAAACTTAAAAATTTACTTTTGTAATTATTTTATAATATGTAAATTTTATGAAATTTTAAAATTTAAGTTATTAAGAAATGTTTTAACTACTTAAAAATTTCTTACACTTAAATCTTTTTTTATAACACTTTAAATCTTTCTTTCTTTATAACTATACATCTTTCTTTGTAAACAGATATGTATATACATATAACATTTTACATTTTATGTATCTCGAATAAGCAAACTTTAAATTTATTTTTAATTAAAAATTTTCTTCTTTTTTTTTAAGTTGTTTTTAACAACTTTTTTTTTTGAACTTAAGTGAAAAAATTTACAACATGAAATTTGAAAAATTTATTTGTGTTTATTTAAAAAAAATTTTTTAAAGTTTTTTTGGAAGATTGAAATAGTAATTGTGTTTAAACGAGCTAATTATTCACCAACTATATTTTCTCTGTGTTGAATATGTATAAAAAAGTGAGATTTTCAAATATTACAAACCAAAGCATACAACAGCAGCTTTTGCTCCTCTATAGTAAATTCTACTCATTGCTTCATAGCGTTCAGAACCAGCTGTATCCTAAATAAAAATAACCAAAAAAATTATATTATTTTGTTCAATTGAAGAAAACATTAGCAGTTACAATTTTTAAAAGTTTAAAACTTAATGTTAGTTTGTTTATTATTTATTTCAACAGCACACAAAGAAACAATAACCATGTTGAAACAAGAACACACAGAGAAACTGTGTTGAAACACAAAGAAAAACAATAGCCATGTTGAAGACTAATACAGTTAAAATTTTTTAAGTCTTTATCAAAAATTTCCGAGTCAACCAATTTTCTTACTCTTTAATAATATTCTTTGTTTTCTGGTTACTCCCAACTTAAATAGTAGTTTCTTGTAGCCTTGTTGTTGAAAGTAAAACAGTTTAAAAGAAAAATGAGAATGAAAACTATGTTTTATTTATCATATTATTATTTTATGTGTTATTTATGTAACAATTAGTTAGAATGTTTTTTAATTTAGTTATTAGTTATTGAATTTTCACCGAACTTAGGTGAGTGTTTTCCATTTTAAAATACATTTAGAAATTTTGTATAGTGTATTGATATGTATTTCAACCGCTAACAAAATCTTGAATTCAAAACATTTAATGACAATATTTTTTATTTAATATAATTATCTAATATTATGTTAATTATAAAAAAGTGTTATCATAACTATTTTTAAATAATATATATATATATATATATATATATATATATAAAATATCTCGACAAGATTTTAAAAATGGTAACTACGAAAAAACTAAACATGTACTTCAAAAATATTGACTGGGTTAATTGTTTTAGAAATATAAATATTGATAAATGATATGAAACATTACAATCTATCTATATTGAGGGATGTAAACTTTAAATACCAGAAATTAAATCGCATTTTTCAATTTTGCAAAAACCTTGGATCATAAAAGAAGTAATCTACGAATTAAAAAAAATAATAACTTTAATATAGAAGCAAAGACCAAAACTGGAATTTAGACACTAAAAAAATATAATAATTGCTGCAAAAATTAAAAAAAAACTCTTGTGTATTCTATCACTAAATATGAAATATCTATATTAGAAAAAGACAAATCCAAAACTCATCTATTAATATATAAACTTGAAACTTTAAGTTAAAAATCAAATAAGATCAATGAAAAAACCAAATGGTAATGTTACAGCTGATCAAAGTAATATAGCTACAATCCTTAACAATTTCTTTTTATCTGTTTTCACTCCTTTAAGTTTAAGTCAATCGTTGCCAGCATTCAAGAAATGCACATTTTCTGGGATTGATGAGACACCAGTCTTGAATAAACTTAATGAGAACTACATAAATCACTACTATCAAAACTCAACTTGCATAAAGCAGGTGTAAACGGCATTCACCCACATGTTTTCAACAAATCTTTTTCATCTCTGAATGTGCCTATCGCTTGTAAAAGATTATTCTTTTATCTCTAAATCATGTATTACCAATTTATTGGAAGCTATAGATCAGATCTCATATTCAATGGCAAGAGACTATAGTTTCGAAACTTTATATCTAGATTATATCAGGATCTTATGCTCCACAAACTTTCTAGTTATGGTGTCTCTTTTATGCTACTTATTTGGATAAAGTATTTTCTATCTAACAGAACACAGCGAGTTATCATGGGTTGTCACTAGTGGTGTCCCACAAGGATCTGTTCTAGGACCTCTTCTCTTCGTCTTATACATGAATGACATTACAGAACAGTTAGCAATCCAATAAAGTTATATGGTGATGACAGCAAAGTTATTTCCGCCAACCCCAATTATGCTCCAGAAAAACATAAATTAAATCACAGCTTGGACTAAAACCTGGCGCTAACGTCTTAACTACAAAAAGTACCTTATCTTACACTTCAACAACAACAAAATTCACAACCACTAATAATATATTTTGACTCCACAAGAGATGCAGCTTTTCGATTCCTCGTACAAGGAAAGAGAAATTGGCATTTGCATTTCATACAACCTCAAATGAGACATGTATGTTAAAACAATATAATCAAAAGCTCAAACTCTTTTCTCACTCAACAAATGTTTTTATTTATAAAAATGCCAAGTCTAACAGAGATGTGCATTTTTACACATTGCTGGTCAGACCTCATTTTGAGTATGCTGCTCCTGTATGAAATTCTCTCTAAACACAAAATTAAAAAATTTGAATAAATTCAAAACTATACCACAAAAGAAATTCCACTTCTTAGAGCGTTATCCAGCAAAGCCAGATTATCACATCTTCATCTCACCTCACTAAATGAAATATGCAATCGAGGTGATTTAATCTATAACAAGGCTGTCAAACTCATGGCCCACAACGTATAATTTTGCTGCCCATTCTGTATAACTTGACATTTAGTTTTCTAACAAATTATTTAATTTTTTATATTGTCATTTCGTTCTCAACGATCGCTTTTTTGAATTTTTAACTTTTTATTTCATACTTTTTTTGTTTATTTTGTAATTTCAGTTTTTATTTTAAAAAAAGTTCATAGAGAGTGTGATCTTTGAGGAAATTTTTTAAAATTATTTTTAGATTATTAGAAAAAAATTAATTTAAAGTACTTTTTTTAACAGTTTGTGCATTTTGTTGTGGTGAAATGGGGGTACATGCAAGCTATGTGTTGTCAGAGTTAATTGCTAAACACTCAAAACCTATTACCTGTTTTTACTTGTAATTTTCAAAATAAAACTAGTTTACTACCTAACATTAAAATCTTTTATTTTTTGTGACCCACCTAAAAATTTTAAATTGTTTATTTGGCCCATGTTAGGATTTGAGATTGAAAGCCTTGATCTACAACTTCAAGTTTATTATTAACTTAGAAAATATTTGTTGGCTTAACCCACAAATTGGCCATCCATATGATCGAATAACTCAAGGACACTCTTAGCATCTCCTCAAAGTTCTTTAATGCATCTGACCTCATCAATAACATGCTAGCCATCTCTACTAAATCTAATTTCTTCACTAACTTCCCTAACTTAATTTCTTCCCTATAATCGGCTGACAACTTCCAAGTCGTAGGCCAATGGAATTTACTCCCACAAACTGTGCATTGATTCTCCTCATCTTAACGAGTTTAAAAATTGTATCAACAAAAGCTTTGATCAGCACTAGCTTTATAATTATCCACCGAAATGCTGCTACAGCTCATTGTTTACTGACAAGGTGCTAAAGTGTTGCTAGCGAAACAGAAAAAAAAACAACAACACTAACTTTGTGCTAAATTAAGCACTTTTTTTAGTTTATTTCTTATGTTATTATTTTCTTGCCACAGCTTATCATTATTATTATACACACACACACACACACACACACACACACACACACACACACACACACACACACACACACACACACACATGTGAATGTCAAATGTGATTGTCAGTTTTGTTTTGATTTATTTTTATCTATTAGATTTAAAAAAAGCTTTGATTTTTTGATTTAAATTTAAAATTACATAAATATATTAAAATATACAAAAATTTTTACAATCCAAAAATTTGATTGAATGTTGTAAATTGATGTTTCCAGACAATGCAATCCTTAAAAAATTTTGTTTGTTGTAAATCGTGGTACAACCCTCTCCCAACTCTTTAACTTCGAAACACAAACCTTGACAAGCAAGGCCGCTGCGCGGAGAAATTAAATTGATTAAGACCAGCAACATGTAGTTTTAAAGTGAAACACATCGAAGTTTTGTGTGAAACACATTGACTGTCCCGAGAAGCAGTCATTGAGAGTATCCTTGAACAATTGGATACTCTTCAGTTGTATTTTTAATCTCAAACGTCAGAGGATAAAGTTGATTGTGCATCTTACAGACAATGAACACCGTTGGCACAATGGGCATGCTTCTCTTTTTCGACTACATACTAGGCAAAGTAAATACCATGAGCATTGAATTCTAATCTTAGAATTTCAATCTTCACAAGTTGTACGTCAGAGTAATCAGCACATATTGTTTCCTTCTTAAAAAGTATTACATTTTGATCCTTTAGAAGTGGCCAGCCACAAAAAACTTAGTACTAATAATTTGAATGGAAGACTTGAAGCCCAGTTAATCCGCCAATCATCAAGAGAAAAAGAAGTTTAGTTTCGCAAGGGTGTATTGCCATTCCTGATTGAACTTTGCAATTAAGTAGCCCTTTTGGGCAACTTAATTCAATTTAAGAATTTTATAAAACGAAAAATAATTAAAATATTAATGAAACTAATAAAAGTAATCTAAAATTAAAGTCACAGTACCAAAGTTTGTTTCAGTGTTTTCTATAATCAATTAGAACATAAAAAAATTGTACAAACGTTTAAATGCATTTAAAAAAAATCTTCCTAAATAAAAACTTTTATCCTTTAAACAAAAATAATATTTTTATTTTTTTACAAATTTTATTTAAAGATTTAGAGATAAAGTAATAGAACTAAACCTTTCAAAAAAAACAAAAAACATTTACTTGTTAAAGTATAAAGCATTACGCTTTTATTTACAGCTCGTATTTTATGTATGATATAGTAATTTGAGTTATATTATTTTAAATAAGATAATTTAAAACTTCAAAAAAAATTTTTTTTAATATTTAAATTATACTTTAATATTATTTATGTGACGTTTATCCAAAAAATATTAGGTCATAAAAAAAAGCTTTTATCACAACTGAATTTTCTAAAGACAAGTTATTTTTGAATTGCTTTGATTAAAATTTAAATTAAGTATAGTTTTCAAAAATTAAATTTAGTTTTGAAGAAATGTAAAATAGTATAATGTTGAATGTAAAATTTAGTTTCAAAGAGCTGTAAAAAATTCATTATCTAAAACATCCTCTCCATCATAGATTATAATATGGATAAGCAAATTAAATTTTTTTTTGTTTTTTTTTTAAATTCAAAATCATGTAAAGTTCTTTTGATGTAATACATTTATGAACATAAATTAAATTTACAAATATATTATTGGTAACTGATAAAATCTATAAAATCTAATTGTAAATAACCTTTATTAAAAATATTACATTAAATATGTAAAAATTAAAGTTGTAATAAAGAAACAAAATATTATGTTAAGTATAATATTATTTTCCGAAATAAATTGAAAATACAATCTTTTTCAAATAGCAAATTTAAATTCTATAACTTTTATATTAGTTAAAATGATTTTTAAAACGATTCAAAATTAAACTAAATTACAACGCAGTACTTTAAAATACTTTCAAAATATCAATAGCTTTCAGGCTCCAGTAACAAATAAGATCATAGTAATTACAACAAATAAAAAACAAAAGGTTTTAAAGTATTTTAAAATTGCTTTTTTTTATATTTATCAAGACTTTGTTATTGTAAAAAAGGGGCAAATTTTTTAAATAAAAAAAGTAATTTAAGTGAAAAAACTTTTATTAATAGTTCCAAATATTACTTTTATTTACAAATATTATTTCTAGTCTACACGTAGCCCTATAAGGAAAAATGACTAATATATGCAAGAGCTTTGGTGAATGCAAAAAATTTTATTAAAAATAAAGACAGGCAACTCAAAACATTGGCGAGCAACTAACATTAACAAACTGGTTACTTTCAGTCGCACTTCTGGCGAAAGACCAGAAATCTGAGTACACACCCCTGTTACATATACATATATAAATGTATATACATATAAATACAAATATATATACATATACAACAGACATTGGCTTCACAATACTTGGTCTATAAGATGAACTAACAGTGTGGGTAAAAGAAATGATGAAATAATAGTGAAACAAAATAACAGTGTGTGAAAATAAAAAGAAAAAGAAGCTGAGAAAATACTTTTTGACAATGATTTTGAAAAAAGCCTAACACTATTTTTAATAAGAGATAATGTTTTTATCTATATTTATTTAAGCTTAGGCCTAAGCATATACTTCTTTTAGAAGAAACACCTGTAGTAAGTAAACTTCGTTGCAAAATTCTATTATAAGTATTAACAATTAGTTAATTTCTAGTACTAGAAGTAACAGTTACATATATACTATAATATAGCTTTATTTTAAATATTAAGCAATTTTTTAGGTATAAATTAAAAAAAATTATACATAAATGAAAATATTTAATAATACATAAGTATTCATTTTCATATTCACATCTTTTCATCATTTTCATATTTTTATTAGATTTTGTTTCAAATAAAAAATTATTAAAAGAATAATGTAAATATGACATCATAAAATTCTTTTTTTCAAACAATTTTTTGTTCTGAAAAAGATAGTGAGTAACAAATAAAAAATATAACTTTTTTCGAAAATAAAAATTACTTTATGACTTTGCTTTGAAAGTGAAAGGAAAAAAAATATTTTAGGTTTCCAAATATCATTTATTAAAATATATATATCATTATGCTTTCACTTGCTTTATAAAAAAAGTTTAACATACATTTTGTGCAAATTTTTAATGCATCCTTAAAAGACTTTTGCAAGTAATTTAATTTTTAGTAAAATAAATGAAAAAGATGAATGAAAACCAAAAAAAAAAATTGGGTTTAAAATAAGCCAATTTTTTAAAAATAAAAGTATAGCTTATTTTTTAAAAATAAAATTTAATTATTGAACAATATTAAGTAATATTTTAAAATAAAATTGAAATAGAAATTAAATTTTCTTTGTTTTTAATTTCATCTCAATTTATTTCATTTGTTATTAGCGCTTATATCTAATGCAAATTTAGGTGGTTTTTATAACATTAATTATTTCTTGTATCTTACCACTTAAAAATCTTTATACTAATATAAATACAAAAATTGCAAATTGTGTAAGAAAAATTTATCTAAAATTTTTTTTTATTGACAATCAATGAAAATAACAACTAATTTCTTTTTTGGTTTTCTTTTATCTTTTTCATATTCTTTATAAATTAATTTTTTATAAAATAATTTATTTAAACATAACTATTTTTTTTTATAATTAATATTTTACCTGAAGCAAAAGACAATAATTAAATATAGAAACAAAACCTAATTTTCAATTTTAATAGCTCTTTAATTTTATTAGAAGAAATTAGTTAGAAAATAAATTTTTAATTAGGTTAATTCTTGTAATCTCGCATACTTTCATTAAAATGAATATAAAATCGAAAATATAAAAAAAATAATTTTAAAATGACTGAAAACATTTAACTATATAATTACATAAAAAATATTATATAATTAACTTTACCCACAATCCTAATGTTACTGATTTTCCTTGAACTGTCATTGACTTAGCTCCAAAAGCTGCACCTATGGTCTATAAAATATTCAATACTACAAAAGTAATTAAGTAAAAATTTTAAAAATACAAAAAATTATGTACAATAAATTTTAAAAATATTTGTTTTAATCTTGGCAGCATAATGATCCTATATTGAGGCAGGTGAGCCATTTTAGCTACATAAGAAATGGAACTTGACATAGGAGATCAAAAACTCTAATATAAAACCCCCAATTTGGTTGTGAGTAAGGGTTTTAATCCTTCTTAGATGGTTTACAAGTCTAACCTATATTCACTATTAAATTGACCTTTTACCCACATTTTAATGTCAGGTACCACATTTGGTTGTAAAAAATTGCTTTAACTCTTCCACATTGATATATTTAAATAAGTAAATGGCATTATGGAAATCTGTCAAAACAACACAATCATGAAACCAACATTTAACTTAAAATATACATATACATATATATATATATATATATATATATATATATATATATATATATATATATATATATATATATATATATATATATATATACAATATTATTATTGTAATACTTGATTAAAATAATGACAATAGAGTGACCCAAACTCAGTTAAAAAAAAAAAATTCAACATAATAAGGTATTCTATCCATTAATTAAGGTATTCTATCCATTAATCTATTAATAAGGTATTCTATCCATTAAGGTATTTTATCCATTAATTCTTGATTAAAATGATGACAATAGAGTGACCCAAACTCAGTTAAAAAAAGAAATTCAACATGCTAAGGTATTCTATCCATTACGCATCAAATAAAAAGTCCCCACAAAAAATATTTTATTTCTATGTTAAGAACAGCTACAAGTAAAAACAAAGTTTTAATGAAAAAATGAACTTTAGTGAAAATGGAATTATTTCAATTTTATTTTGAAGGAAGTGTAATTTTAAACCGTTTGTTAAAATTGTATTCATATCTAATATTGTATTCTTATCATATCTAACATATGATAAAAATACAATTTGTATTCTAGAAGGTAAATTAAAAAAAAATTAAAAAGAATTTTAAAAAAAATCACTTGATTACTGTTATTTTTTAACATTTCTGCATATAGCTAACATTCAGACTATTGGATGTTTTAAAGACAAGCTTTCAGCACTCTTGAACAACCAGCATTTTATTCTAGCATTGATAAGATCAATATTCCAACAGCCAATAAAGTCTCACAGTTTGTTATTCAAAAAAAAATTAAAATTTGATTGTGTACTTTGCAATACTTTTCATTTCAGCCAATCTGTGTTGATCAACAACCTTTAAATATTTCCAGGGCTGTATCAGGGCTGTGAGGCCAGGGCTGCCAGAGAACTGGTTGTCCCAAAACTCATTTTAAATTTTTTACAAAAAGTTAAAATTTACCTTTTTTTCAAAAAACTACTTTTTTTTGGTATAAGCATAATAGACATTTTTTAAATTGAGAAAATTTTTAAATTTTTTTAAATTTGTTTTAACTTATTCTTTGTATCCTATAGATATTATAAATTCGTCTAATTTCAGCATTTATTACTTTTTCATTTATAAATACTAAATCGAATGTCTTAGAAGTAGATGGCTTTTCAATAACCTGAATTGTACTAATTTTTAAAGGTGATGAAATAATCAATACTGCAAAAAAAAAAAAAAAAAATTGCATAATGAATTAAATACAGGAGGCAATAACTTATGTTTTTTACTTTTGAGATGCATTTTCACCCATACTTTTTAATGCATTTTCACCCATATTTTTAACATTATTGTCTTTTTTACAAAAAGAACATGACCCAACTGTCATACTCTTTTTAATAATCCAATTTTTGTATTCAAGTACTTGCAACCATGCATTAGTAACTAAAACTATATTAAAAATATAGCAAACCTTTCAATTAGATAATAAATCATAGATACTTTTCTCTTGTTGATTGAAATTTAATTAAAACTATTAATATGAATGTTTTTTTACATAAAAAAAATTAATTTTACTGCAATATTATTAGTAATTTTTTAACTTTATTTTGAAAAAAAATAATTATAGAAATAAAAACAAAAAACTCACCTAAAAAAAATATAAACTGATAGACAACCATATTAACAAACTGTGGGTAGACACTGGGTACTGGGTACTAGATACTTAAATTTACTTTCTTTAATAAACACCAAAGTGAATTAATTTATAGTATGAGAATAATCAACACACATTAGTTTTTTGTGTAGCTTATTTGTAGTAACAGTCATTTAATAATTTCTTAATTTGGAATTGGATGAACAACTTATTAACTAAATTTTCTCGTTTTTAGTTTCTCATTTTTCTTCCTTAAGTGGTTCTGACCATGCAATGATCTCTTTAAATCTTTTATCTCGTACTTCATTTTCGGACTCAACCCATCATTGCACTACTTACTACTACCCTAACTACCCTAAAGCTGACTGAGACTCTTTTTGTGATTTTCTTCATGACAGTCCTAGGGCTGATGTTTTTTTCTCTCAGCTGAAAAATGTGCCTTCTATGTAGAGATTTACCGGAATTCCGGCCGAATTTTTTTTTCTTTTGGATCAATTTGCTTCTGGCTGTAATAAAACTTTTTTTTTACTTTTTTTTTTTATGACATGTGACCAGGGATGCGATGTCTGGAGTCAGTGTCCAGAGTCCATGGAGTCCCTATTTTAGCCCGGAGTCTGGAGGAGTCTTGGACTCTTTACTTCATAAAAATTTTAGGATTCTGAAACTCTTTTTTTTTATAGTTATTAATATGCTTAAGAAATACCTGATAGTCTTGTCACAAAACACTGTAAAAGACCATTTGATCTCCTTCCTTATCAATTCAAACCAATACTCAGATTGAGTATCGGTTCGAATGTTACGCCTTGTTAAGTTACTAAGCTCACATTTTACATGCAAAAAGGCCATATGCCTACACGTTCAGCAGTTTAACTTTAAGAGGAAACTTTCATCTTTTAGAATATTTAATTTTTATTTTAATACCATTGATGTGTTGTTCATTCAAAAAACTTGTTGTAAGGGTAAAAATTTCTCAAAAAACAAGGGGCTGCACCCTGCATCACCAAATTCGCTGAAATTTGGCACAAATGTTTAAATATATAAGTTAGGAAAGACTGTAAAATTTTTTTAAAAATTCTCAACTCTTTAAGATTTACAGCAACTTGAAGTTAGTTATTTTTTGACTGAAAAAAGAGGGGGGATAAAGCCGGAAGTATGTCAATTTACCATTACCCTTTTAACAAACTTGTAGTAATGTTGCGAAGCTAAAACTTAGTGCCAAATAAGTTTAAAATCTGCTGAATCTAAAAATCATAAACTTATATCTCTCAAAACAATAAAATATAGTTTATTTTTAGATCCACAAAACGCACTTGTTAATGACAATAAAAAAGGCCATTGACAACTATAGTTCTAGAAAAAATCTGACTGATGAAAAAAAGTTTTGGTTTTCGTTATTTTAAATATTAAACATATATCTACTTTGCGAACCAATTTTTATTTGGCCTTATGTTTTATCAAGGAGTTATTGATGTTTTAATTTTTCAATTTTTCTAAAGATATTTTGCGAAAAAAAAAAATTTGCAAATATATTTTGAATACAAATACAATTATTTTTGTTTTCTAATAGCTTTGTAAAAAAGTTACAAAGTTATTACAAAACATAGTTGAACATTTTATAAATTTGTTTCTTTTTACTTTCATTACATAATATTAATGTCATTTTCATTACATAATATCATGTCATTAAATTTAACAATATTATGTAACTTTTGTTGTTGATTGTTTTGTTGTAATAAAACATTTATTATCATCAATAAAAAAAGTAGTAAAATGATATAATAATGTCTAATTAACATTACCATGTTAAGTTACATAACTAAATAAAATTATATTTAGTTATCTTTTACTTTTACACAACTTTTTGTAAGTAGTTAATTGAGAATTTACAATAATTAGTAGATAGTTAGGCATTTAAAATATGTCTATTAAACTAATAGCTACTTGTTCAACCAATATGCTCTTTATAAATACATATTGATATGATATTGTTTGTGTTCAAGCAACTTTTCTTGTTAGGGACATTGAGATTATTTAAGATTTCTTGTATTAAGTGTTTAGACAGAGATTCCTCATTATATTTTTATATGGATAACAAAACTAATTGCTGCTTTGTAAATAATTATTAAGCTTGTTATAAACAAACATATACTCAAGAAAGAAATCTGATTGAAGATATTGACAGCAATGGTCATAAGCTACTTGAAAAACAAACAAATCTGAAATAAGAACAAATTACTAATATATGCACACACCATCATGATATGTTAGTTGTAAGATATGAGGGTAATCAGAAAAGTTGCTGTAATCCAGGCCTTGTTTTAAAGCGTTACGCCTAGAGCGATTTACGTACGCCTTAAGCGCTTTTTACGTACGCGTAGAGCTGTTTTGGTTAAGCTACTTTTTATCATTTTTTAACTTTTAAATTAGCGGTAACATAAAAGAAGTAATTAATTTTCAAAAAAACCACATTAACTTTTAAATAACGATATGTAAAGGTATTTATTAAAAAAAAGAATTTACTTTAAAATTAATTGTTGTAACTTTTCATCGCGATATATCTTTCCTTTTTATAGCAATTAATTTGACGCTAAACTTTTTATCCAAATATTTAGCAACGTGAAAAATTGTTTGTCAATCCTTAACTACAAATTTTTTGCAATGTTTTTAATAAAAAGTAGTAAAGTTTTTAGTAAAAAACTTTTAAAAAGTCTATATTCCATATTTATTAATACAGAATATAAAAGTTTTTTGTAATATAGATTTTTTATGAATTTTTTACTGAATTTATAATAAAAAACATTTGCAAAAAAATTTGTAATTAAGAATTGACATTTTTTTAAATAAAATCTCAAAAAATGTCTTAATATTTTTGTTATCATGATAACAAAAATATCAAGACATTTTTTCGAGATGTTAAAAAAAATGTCTTTGCTTTTCTTATTAGTTTAATAGTATATAGCTTATAGTTAGTTTAATAGTATATAGCTTTTCTTATTAGTTTATAGTATATAGTTTATTAGTATATAGTTTAAGTTATGCGGGGGGAGGAGGGAGGCACAGAAAAAAAAATTACCTGGTACTCGCAATATTTGAATGAAGACAATTTGTTAAAATTCTTCTGCGTGCGATTCAATAAGTTTTTTTTGTCATAAATCAAGTTATAATATAAGGTAAAGAAATCATGAGTAGACTACAACATCCGCTGATGACACTAATATTACGTTGAATATATTTATATAACGGAGGTTTTATTATGCACGCGCACATTACAGGTTCCGTTAAATAAATACTAAGGCACGTTTTAGTTTAATGACAGTCTCCATTTTTTACTAATGAATATGTATTTTTCTTTATAAAACAAAACAAACTAGTATATAAAAACCTTGTATATTTCTATTATCTCTAAATTATTTAAAGTTCGAATATGGATTGTATTTTGAAGGACAAAAGATTTACTTTAAAAACTTTTAAATCTTGGGACTTTGCCGATGCGATGATCACAGAAAAAGAGAAGACTTACGTTATTAAAATCAAATGTAAGTTATGTGATCTTCATCAAAATAAAATATTATCCAAAAACAATAGTGCCGTAAGGGCAACTGCCCAACGGTTTATAAATAATACAAGTCATGTTAAAATATTTTAACATGTTACTATATTTTAATTAAGTTGATATATAATTAAAAATAAAAATATAGTTCAATAAATAAATTAAATTTATTCTTAACAAAGATTACCTCATATTTATTCTTTTTTTTATTTTATTAAGTTAAATTGCTTACAAACGAAAAAAAAAAAAGAGTTTTGTAATTATACGTAGAATGAAAATACTTTTGAGTTTGTTTATAAGTTAAGGAACTTAATTTTTAATAAACAAATTTTTACGAACGTTTATTATAAACAGATACGATTTAAATTATTAGATATACTTAAATTATTTCAGTTGAATATTTTTATAAGTTTGCACGATTAAAGTTTGGCGTACAAGTATTTGTTTTTTTGTTTTAAGAATAATTAATAAAAGAGTTTGCATAATTAAGACTTTTATATTTAATTTAATTTTTTTTTTAATTTCCTAAAATTAAAAAAAAAAAAAGATTTAATCGTTGAAAACGATTTTTCTCTATAGCTCTGTTTCTTTGTGATTTGCTTAAAAAGTTAAATATTTTTACAATAACATAAAAAGTTTATGAATTAAATTCCTAGCGAACGCGTTCTAAACTACGTATCAAAAATACGCTTCAAAGCAGACAAAACTTTTTTATATTTTTATAAAACACAAGTTGAAACGCTTTTAAAAATTTTAAAAATATTTAAAAACTTAAATTTTTCTTTGCTAGTCAAAACAAAATCGTTGTTTAAATAATTAACATGGGTTTGTGTTTATCAATGTTAATATTTTTTGTTTACTCTAGAAATTTTTAAAAATAAAAAAAATCATTATTATTTTTTATTCAATAACGATTAAAAACAATTATTCAAAAACAAATTTCAGAAATAATTAATATATATATATATATATTTTTCACTAAATAATATTGAACTAAAATTAATAATAAAATAACAATTGAAAACATTACAAAATTTTCATATTAAATTTATATTTAAAACGTTTATAGTTTATATTTGAGTTAACTGTTAAATTGAATTAGTTTGCGGTTATTTATTTATTGCGGTAGTTAAAACACTTAACGCCTATAAAAAAAAATAAAGATAATTTTATGACGTCAAAATCGCGTTAAGCTAATGCATTAAGCACTTTTTTATTTAAAACAAGGCCTGGTAATCCATTTCTAAGTTATTAATGTTTCATAGTTATTAATATAACAAATTGTATAGTAATATAATTACATAATATATATAATTAATGTTATTTAAGTAATGTAATAACTTTCTTTTTAAGCATCTCTACGTGTGATTACAATGCATACTGTTTTAGAAGCAGAAACCATAGGTTTAAATCTTATACCTGGAAAAAAACTGTGTCCAACCTGTCGAAGTAAAGTAATGACATGTTTATCAAAAAGTATAAGTGAAAATAAAAAATGAAGATTTTGATATTGTTAATGAAAGATCCATTCAAAATAAAAAAGAAAGTGTAGATACACACTTTGCATCTGCCGGAGTATCTCCAATTAAGGTCAAAGGATTGCACAAGTCAGGTAAAATCAGAGAAGGTAAACAAAAATTGACAGCATTAACAACCTCCATTAAAAAAAAGGTAGCCATTTCCCTTAATATATCAGAAGAAAGTTTTGAAGAACAGTCAAGTTTTAATAATGAGTATATGGAAAAAACAAACTTGTTTGATAACATGATGGTATTGTTAACTAACAAAATTGCAGAGTCTACATCAACATCAAAAAAAGTACAACTTGCGACACTTGCTCCAACAGACTGGTCAATAAAAAAGGTATCTGAAACATTGCATGTAACAAACTATGTAGCTCGAACTGCACGTAAGTTAACATTAGAAAAAGGTATTTTAACCATGCCTAATCCTAAATTAGGAAAAAACTCTTTTCTGATGTAACAGTTTAACTGGTCAAGACCTTTTACGAAGACGATGAACATAGCCGTATAATGCCTGGTAAAAAGGACTATGTAAGCATAAAGAAAAATGTCCACATGCAAAAACGTTTGCTCTTATGTAATTTAAAGGAATTGTTTGTTGCCTTTAAAACCAAGAACCCAGAAATAAAAATAGGATTTTCAAGGTTTTGCACCTTGCGACCTAAATGGTGTATTACTGTTGGTGCCTCAGGAACACATTCTGTATGCGTCTGCGCTATTCATCAGAATTTGAAACTGCTTTTACATCCTCTTGGTGTGACATACAAAGAATTGTTACTTTATATTGTCTGTGATATAACTAATAAAGACTGTATGATGAGGAAATGTGAAAAATGCCCAGCAACTATGAATGCATTGGTTGAAAAACTTTATGATATACTTGGAGAATTTGAAGATGATGATGAGATTGAATTTGATCAATGGACAACAACAGATAGGTCAAACTTGACACAATAAAGAGCCAGTGTTGAATACATTGAACTAGTATGTAGAAAACTGGAAAAACTTGCACCACATTCGTATTTAGCAAAGAGTCAAGCATTATACCTGAGATCAAGAAAGGAAGATATGAATGAGGTAACAGCATTATTTCTGGGTGATTCTTCAGAAAACTATAAATTTGTAGTTCAGGATGAAGTGCAAAGCTTTCATTGGAAAAATTTACAATGTACACTTCATCCAGTGATTATTTATTTCAAAAAAGAAGGCATTCTCAAGCACAAACCCTATTGTATTATTTCGGATATGATCCATGATGTGAACATGGTTTATAAACTATTTAGGTTATTTGCAATGATATAAAAACAAATTTGCCTCAAATAAAAAATATTGAATACTTTTCAGATGGGTGTGCATGTCAATATAAGAAAATATGCAATATGCATATATATGCAATATTGCATATATATGCAATATATATGCATATATGCATATATATGCAATATATATGCATATATGCATATATATGCAATATATGCATATATGCATATATATGCATATATGCATATATATGCAATATTGCATATATATGCAATATATATGCATATATATGCAATATTGCAATATGCAAAAATATGTTAAATCTTTGTTTCCATTGTGAAGATTTTGGTTTTACTACTAAATGGAACTTTTTTGCAACTAGTCACGGTAAGCAACCTTGTGATGGGATAGGTGGTACAGTCAAACGTCTGGCAACACTAGCAAGTTTGCAAAGAGATATGGGTAATCATATTTTATCTTCACAAACAATTTATAAATATTGCAATGAAAACATTGAAGGCATAAATTTCATATATATTTCATCAGAAGATTTAACTTTGGTGAGAACCCCTCTTAAAGAACGATTGGATACTGCTAATACAATACCTGGAACATGTAGTTACGATCAGTTTGTACCACTTGGCCATCAAAAGGTAAATTATTATTTTTTAATTATACCTTTTACCATATTTTAAAATACATGCATAACTTTTATTGATAAACTCAAATAGATATTAGATTTTTGCAGAATCATTATCAAAAATATTTGTATTTTATTTTATTTCCTCTGCATTTGCTATCTATGCATTTAATAAAACATGTTTGATAAGTAAAATGGAATAATTGCATATGTTACTAATTTGTTTAGGTAGGCACTAAGCTATGCAGTGTTGATGAAGAATTTGCTTTAATTCATGACTTTGGAAATATCCAGATAACAACTGTAAACCTAGTACCAGGTGATTATGTCTGTGTTTCCTATGAGCAAAAGTGGTGGATAGGAGCCATTGAAGATATTAATTTAGAAGAAAAAGATGTGCTTGAAAAATTTATGTGTCCTAATGGTCCTGCACGGTCGTTTAAATGGCCACCAAAGGAAAGCCAATGCTGGATTCCTGATGTCCACATTATTTGCAAAGTTGAGGTACCGATAACAATCACAGGACTTTGCTACTATATAGCCAAAGAGGACTTAAAAAAAATTATTTTCCTAAGGAAGTAGAGATTTTTATATTTATGAATCTATTACGCTTTATCCATTCTTTTTTTAAATATTATGTTTTGTGAACCAACTTGTAAATAATGTGAATGTAAAGCATATATAAAATCACTAAAGTTTAGTATTTTTTTAAAAAAATTTATATACGTTTAAATTTTGTTGTAAATATCATATGAAAATGAAAAAGATAATAAAGTCACTAAATTTTTAGTTTCTAATTTGATTGATTGGTAAAAAGTGGGGTTATATTAAGTGTCTAATTTAAAAAGTATTAAAATTTTTTGTGTCTATATCAAACATCAATAATTCCTCAAGTAAATATAAGGCCAAAACAAAATTGGTTCGAAAAGTAGGTGTTGATCTTACTTTTAAGAAAATCGAAATTAAATTTTTTTTATATCAGTCAGATTTTTTTTATAGCTATAATTGTCAACGCCCTTTTTTCTCGGCGTTATAAAGTGTATTTTATGGATCTTAAAATAAGCTACATTCCCTTGTTTTGACATATAAAAAACTATATTTTTCGGATTTAACATGTTTTGAACTCTTTTGGTACAAAGTTTCAGAATTGTGGCATCACTACAAGCACCATATTAAGGTGAAAGTAAACAGAATGATTTTCGGTACTTTTCCCCCCTAAGTTTTTAGTCAAAATCAAGGAAACTTCAAATTGCTGTAAATGATAAACAGTAAGGAATTTTATGAAAAAAAATTACAATCTTTCCTAAGATATGTCTATAAACATTTGTGCCAAGTTTCAAAAATTTTGGTGATATAGGGTGCAGATTTGTGTTTTTTTGTGTTTTTTGAGAAATTTTTACCCATAAGTACAAGCATTTAACCGCAATTGTGATCTAATAGTTTTTTTGATAAAGAAATAATTTTTTTTTTTGTTAAAATTAATTCAAGAAAATAAAGTGTTTTTTTAGCTTTAAAAATTTTATCATATTTTATGTTAAGTTTTATATTGGGTTTTATTTGCAAATTATATTCATTTTATATGTAACGAATTTTGTTTATTTATTTATAGTTTTAAAACAATTAAAAATTTTAAAATATTAAGAAAGTACCTATGATGAACTATTTATTTAAGTATTTCCTCATCATCAAATTTTGAGACCTAGGGTCAATTTTCCTAAAAAGAAAGGAAGTTAACATTCGACTTACACTTAAATATTTTTTATAAGACATTCGTCACTTGTGAAGGATTCATCCTACTCATTTTATTCACAAAATCGCTTCTGGCTAGACCTGCAGATAGACCTGCAAAATCGCCACGGCTAGACCTGCAGATAAGGATATGTTTGAAAACTTTTAACGTTTAATTTTTCTTTTTTTTAATTTATCAAATTTAGAAAGAAATGATATTTTAATGTTGAAGTTGCTTTTATACATAAGTTTTTTCATTATCTTTAATTTTTTAGATTTATCATAGAAAGAAAGTTGATTAGAAATGATTAACTAGGTTATGAGAAGTAGACGAATACTTTACCAAAGTCAAGTTCTTTAAAAAAAATTGTTGATATATTTTTTGCTTTCTTTAAGCACTGTTTAAAACTGTAAACTATAGTAGGAAACTATACTTATAAATAAATGAAGCTTGTAAATACTATTAGAAAAAAAAAATCTTTTTATTTCTTTTAATTTCAACCCAAAATGGTGAGACTGTCTAAGAAAATAAAAAGTCTACTCTGCTAAGAAAATAAAAAATTTCATTTTAATAACGCCTAATGAAAAATTACAATTAAAGCAATATGGTTCAGATACAAAAGGCTATCAAATTTCACTAGCAAATTAAATATATGCAATATAAAAACAAATTTGTCTGTGAGTTTGCGCTATAAAATCAAGCTAACGATCTAGACAGCTGGCAAAAAACATACCATCTATGTCAGAAAGTAGCCAAAAAAAGCTTATAAATTACCTAAACAAATAAATAAAAATTATTTTGCGCAGCAATTTCTTTTACAGAAAAACTACTAACGTCATCGATTCATAATTAGTCATTGTAACAGCTTTCCTAACTATGTTTTCTTGGGTTGTTTTACAAAAAATTAATTTTGCGAAGCATTATAACACAAAGAAAATACTTGACATGTTCACAATAACTTGCAATAACAACATTCTTTCTTTAAAATAATATTAGATATTAACTCGCGTGTAACAATCTTGACCAGTAATAGCCACTAACTACGCATCAGATACGATCTACAGACACTTTCATCTACAAATAAAATTTTTGAATGAATGCAAAGTAATATGCTTCAAATGTCTTGTAACCGAAAAAAGTAAAAGTAACGAGTTAGGCGGTAAAGAAATTACAAGTACCTCAAAAGCTTGCATTAGCAACCTTATACGACACTTATCTAGAAAACATGCGGAGCTCCTCGTTATGTTAAAAAAAGAAAAAATAGAAAAAAAAAAATAGAAAAGAATAAGCAAAAATATACAGCTATCAAAGGCAGCACTTCACAGCAATCTATATTAAAGTGTTTTGTACCACAGCAAATTAGTTTGCATATTGCAAAAGATGAGTTTTTAGAAGCCTTAAAGCCTGGTTTTGGTTGAAGGTCTTTCATTCGAGGTTCAATTTATTTTTCGTTAGTAATTATTTTTTAATTAAAAAAAAATAAATCTAAACAGTTATATTTTTTTTGGCATTTTTAAATTAACATTTATCATTCTAAAAACAATATCTATAGGCATTTGATCGGGAACCTATTCAAAAGCTTTGTGGAAAAGTTTCATCTTATTTTGGATTTAAAATGAATAGAGATAATATGAGAATTCAAATTATCAATCTTGCCAAAAAGCATCGCGAACAAATCAAAAACAAATTATCAAAAATGCAAATTTATTTGATTCTACATCAAGGAATATACGTCACTACCTTGGTATAAATGCGCAATACTCGAACAATGATGCAATACTCGAACAATGATGAAACTGCTGTGATCAATCTTGGCAACATTGATACAAAGGGAAAACAAATGGTGGAATACACAAAAAAATATTATTGAGAAGTGTTTAGATAAGTTTGGAATCAATAAAACTAATATTTTAGACCTCAGTGTTGATAATGCAGCAGTGAGTAACATATTTTAAAATTCACTATATTTTTTGTTAATGAAAAAAATTAAAATTATGTGATTAAAGTTATTATTTTCCATAAAATCATTTAAAAATTAAACTATTTTGATAAAATCTTTTGTATACTGTAAGGTATATTAACTAAACTTTAAATTAACTATTGAAATCATACTTAATATCTTTAGGTGAATTTAAAGTTGGTGCGTGACTTTGGCATCAGCGCCGTTGAGGAAATTGTAGATGACGAAGACAATTTTTCAGTAGAAACTTATAAATTTGACAAAGATGGTTATTCTAAAGCAGATAATGCAACAGCAGTCTTGGCAAGTGGAGTTGCCAGTAGCATGAGTGTTATACATCTTCAAAGATGTGCTGTCCACACTTTACAGCTAGCCATAAATAATGCATTGAAAAGGCCACAATAATCCAACTAACCATGCCAGAGATGTTGTCAAAACTCCAAGAAATTTGAAGTGGATTGACTTCTTCAGGGACCAGACTCAACATCTCATTCCAATTTTAGATCAGGCTACCCGTTGGTCTAGCCAGTTCAATATGATTGAGAGGCTAATTAAGGTAAGTTATAACATATAACTTCTAAGTTTTAATCAAAGTGTATAAACCAGTTTTCTAACTGGTATAATATAAATCCAATTATTTCAATGGTAATGACATTTATACTACTTAATAATTTTTTAATGTTAGTTTATGTAAATATTTCTTTAATAATCCTCTTTACTTAAGTAGTTAATAACTTTGTACATATATTTAATGAATTCTTCTGTTCTTCTAGATTCGACCTGTAAATCAAAATCTAAATATGCAAAAAGAGGCTTCTAAAGAATTTCATGTGCAACCATGTTTTTGGGGTATGTGGGAGGAATTGAAAAATGTATTGCATATGGCATGCAATCTTACTATTCGTCTTCAAAGTGAAAATATCACCGCAGGCGAATTCAATAATTTTTGATTGGAATTCAATAAAGTGTGAACTTTACGGGAAGGACAGGAACTTAGCCAAAGATTTCTAAAAAGGAAGGAATAATAGAGAAAGTGCACTACATAAAAATCTGTTGTTTCTTGCAGCAGTTTACATTGATATTAGGCATGGCTGTATGCTAACAGCGACTGAAGACAAGGTTGTTTCTTTAATAAAATTTTATTTATATATATTTATTTATTTAACTTTAAAAATACATATTCTAAAAGTATAAATACTTCTATAGATAACTGCAGCTGATGGACTTTAGAAAATACATTACAAACTGATTCAACTCGCTAATGAAAATAAGAATAATGAACTCAATAAAACCAAAAAAGCAGTAGAGCGCAACTCTTTTGCAATTTATGTGTCAGACTCTAGTTCAGAAAATGAGGAGAATGCTTCACCAGTCGCAAAGCGTCGACCAAATTTATTTAAGTTGTGTGAACAGGAGGTTCAAGAAAATTTTTCAGAAGAACAAATGCAGGTTTAACTAGATGTAATTGAAAAGGAGTTTCGACTAGCTGTAAAATTAATTCCGGAAATCCGTTCAATGTATAAAGACAAATCATCCAACTTAGACAAGTTTTAAAAACTTAACCCAGTTGTACGGGATGCCTGCCATGTCGCTTTGTCGCTACCCATATCCTAAGTCAGTGTCAAGAGTCTATTTTCAGTCTTAAAGCACATGACACCAGACTATTGTAGTTGATTTACATCTGATTTAATTGATCATATGCTTTTTTTACAAACAAGCAAGTTTTTTATTTGAACATTTTGATGATGTAAATATTATGATATTTTGTCCTTGTAGTTTTATAATTTAGCATGTAATTAATGCAAATAAGCATTTAAATCTTTTTATAATTTTATGATCATGTGGTTTCAAATAATCTGAGAAATTGAGTGCAACATCTGAGAAATCTGTGTGTGCAACAATACAAATCAAATAAAAATCTTTGGAGTTGTATTGTTCTTATAAATTCTTACAATCCAGCAAAAGCGGAACAAATTAACTTTTGGATTTAAGCAGCTGTGGTGCAGTGGTAGCCCATTTTCCTAAAAAATAAGGGATATGTAGTTCAAACCCACCTTTGGTTTTGCGACATCGGTTAGGAAGTAGGAGTGAATTTCCTGAAGTAGGAGTGAATTTCCTGTTAATTGCTTTTCCAAGGTGCGCTGTTATAGGACCGTAAGGACTTCTTAGGGTACATAAAATAAACATATATATGATTCATAAGAGAAAATATTATTGGTACCCTCTCATTTTTCCAGAATTTTTGTGTAAAAGTTAATTAAAACCCCATATTTAATAAAGAAAAAAAAATTATTTCGGAGTCCGGAGTCCATGGAGTCTATGATTTTTGAGCTCGGAGTCCGGAGTCCCAAAAAATCAATGGAACTTCGCATCCCTGCATGTGACACAGGCTGTGTAAATAAATTAAAAAAATCATTATCCTAAAGAGCAATGAAGAACTATAGGTAAACCTGGTATATTTGGAAATGTATTTGCAGTACTGCTATTTCTGAAAATAAACTTACATTTGTAATTACTAGGTTTACCTATAGTTTTTAATTGCTCGGTAGGATAATAATTTTTTGATTCATTTACACAGCCTGTATCACATGTCATAAAAAAGTTTAGTTACAGCCAGAAGCAAATTGATGTTAAAGAAAAAAAATCTGGAATTCTGGTACATCCCTAATCCTATGTAACCTCTTGGATTCAGGCAGGAATGGATGCTTTTATTCCTTCTTGTTAGTTCCTCCTTAAGTCAAGCCTCATTCTACTCCATGGTTTTCACCCTCTTGTGCAGCTGCTATATCTAATCGTAATTATTTTTTTCATCTTTTTTATAAGAGTTCTCTTGAGAACAAACAGCTGTTTATTATTGCAAGAAACTAATGTAAAAAAGTCTGTCAGATGCTAAGTTCCATTATTCTCAGTTCACTAAATCTTGTATTTTATCTCAGAAGTTAGACTCTAGAGATCTTTGGAAAATCTTCAACAGCTCCAGTTAACAAAGGAAGGTGAGATAACACAACATGATAAATGTAAAACTTTTGATGTAACAGTTTTAACTCAGGAGTAGTCAAGTCAAGAGGATATTAGATATCTGTATATCATATCCATATCACATATCTGTATATCATATCCATATCTGTATTGATAGTTTGGTAGGACTCAAGATGAAATACTGGAAGTTTGTTAATTAGACATTCAAATAATTTGCTAATATTAATAAAAAAAACTTGGGAAATAACTAGAGAGAAAAGAGCAATCTCTGGAGTTTTTTAAAAAAAAAATAATAAAAAAACACAGATACCACTCGCCTAATTAAATTTTGTTTCCTAACAGTCAGGACAACTAATTTTTAACTAAGAATTTATTGATTATTTGATAATATTATAACTTTTTTTAAAGAATATCACTAAAATGTGAAGAACTTTTTTATAGAGGTCATTAAGATCAAGTTCATAAAAAATAATAACAAAATAACAATATCATTCTAAGAATTTATTAGAATTTTAATTTGTTTTACCTTACTTTTAATTTTAACACAAAAAAAAAAAAAAAATGAAAAAATAAAAAAATAATTACTTTATCTAATAATATTAGAAATAAACTTATCAAATTAGTATGTAATTAGTTAAACAAAAGTTTATTCATAATTTAAAAAATTAAACATTTTGGAATGAGAAAAAATTAATTAAAAAAATCATACATTTTGGTAAGGTATAGTTGAATTAAATCTTGAATAAAGAAATCTTTCAACTAAACTTGTTTTGCCTCCATATTCTTTTCCCAGTAGTACAACTTTTAAATCAACCTTCTGACTTGCCATTGTTCAGTTAAATTCATTTTTCTGTTAAACTCATTATTTTTCTTCGTTAAAACTTTACCAAATATATATATATATATATATATATATATATATATATATATATATATATATATATATATATATATATATATATATATATATATATATATATATATATATATATATATATATATAAACTGTACATATAAAAAAAATGACAAATACAAGCAAATATATGACAATTTATTTACTTATTTATGTTTAACAGTTTGTAAACATTATGAATAAGTAAGTAAATAAAGAATCTGAGTGAATTTATTGGTATAAAATTAAAACTTGATTTTAATATATCCTTTTTTTCTCAAAAGTTGTAAGTAACCATATTTAAAAGTTGTAAATGAGCCAATATTAATTGTGATTATAGTGAAATTGATATAAATAAAAAATAATAGTCATAGAACTGTTAAAAAAAAGTTACAACAACTGTTAAAAACTGTTAAAACAAATTATAAAAAAAAATTTTAAAAAGTTATAGGATTAAATAATGTAAAAAAAAAAATTGAAATATGTGTATGTACAAATGTATCACAAAACTATTGATTGTTATGACCATATAAAAAAAAAAAATAAAGATAAAGAATTTTATCAATCATATAAAGCAGTTGGAAATAATAAGGATAATAATAATTTTTGTTTCTATGCTTCATAACAGTAATCAAATCAAAGGATATGGAAGTGAATACAAAGGTTAGAATGCTCAGTCTTGTGCTTTTAATTAATGCATTGCATAGGCTTTTAATATCTTTTTTTTTTTTTAATTTAAGAGGTTATTTTACTATTGACACTGCTTAATGCATTTATTTTATATATGATTGAGGAAACAGATTGATAACTAAAAGTAAGAATAAAGCACAGGAAAAATGAAACACCTAAAACTCTTTAATAGCTTAAGCTAAAAAAAATTACACATTTTGTAAAGTAATATATACGATATATGAAAAATGTCATAATACAATAAAAATGCAAAATTTGTTAAATGTTAAAGTAAAAAAAAATTGGTGGAACTGTACTTGATTCATAGGTTAAAGGAGAACTTCATATATTAATTTTGAAGTTAATTTCAATTAAAAAAACAGCTAAATTAAATCATCATTTTATTCACACCTGAATCCAGTACACCTCTGCCAAAAAAGTAACTAAAGAAATGCCTCAGCAATAATTGTATAACCATTGCAGTTGCTATTACTAGTTCACAGCATAAATTTATTTAAAGTCTAAACTGCATATTGTGTATTATTTTATTTCAGCAATGTTTTTTTCTATAATTTACCAATGATTGAGAGAGCTAAATTTCTTTTTTTAAAAGAAGTAGGGTTAACTAAAGAAAATAAATGCATACTACTCCTGTTTCAGAAATATATATATATATATATATATATATATATATATATATATATATATATATATATATATATATATATATATATATATATATATATATATATATATATATATATTTCTAGAGTAGTTAGTACACTAAACACCCTATTAAAAACTATATGAAATGTTTATAACAACAATAATAATAATAATAATAATAATAATAATAATAATAATAATAATAATAATAATAGCAATAATAATAATAATAATAATAATAATAATAATAACAGTAATAGAAATTATAATTATTATAATAATAATTTCTTCAAGAAATTCTTGTTATAATTTTCTATGGATTATTTAGATCGTTTGTTTAAAAACACTTGTTTCAAACATTTTTAGTTTAATTAAAAGCGTTACATTTTATTCATTTTGAAATTTGCAATTTGATTTTTGTTTTAAACAGTTAACATTTCACTATAAGAGTTTTTTTTTAAATGCTTTAAAAAAATGAAGACAATTAATGTAGCCAATTAAAATAAAAACAATTAATAACGTAACATAGTCCTTTAACCGCTATATATTAGTCGCTAATAATATATATTAGTCGTTACTTTTATATTAGTTATAAGTTGCTTCGAGAAAAACGTCAGCTACTTTGACGTACGACTAAATTTCTATGGTGAGGATACTATTTCGCAAAAAATCACGAGACATTTTACAAGTTAATAACAAAGCAGTAGTACAAAATATCGTCGGGGATAGTGCAAATCCGCGTAACTAGATGTGGCTACTATATTTGGATATTATTAATTTTAACACCAAATATTTATCGTTGAGATTACAAAAAGCATGAATAATACTCTTTATACTAAAATGAACCCAAAATCAGTTAAAATAAAAAATATATAAAGTTTTAAATTTTTCCAGTAAAAAAAATGTACTGTAGATACGAGGTATTATCCAATGCTAATTACGATATGACAAGATATAATAACCAATGAAAAAAATAAAAATAATAAAAAATGCTAACAATAACCATTAAAACAAATATAAAAAAAACTAGATAATTTTAGATAAAATTTTTAAAAAAACTATACCGTAAAACCGCCTAAGTTCGGTCACCATGTAACTTCGGTCATTTAAAAAAATATATAAAAAAAGCATGCAAAACTCAAATTTTACAAACTTTTTTTTCTCAAATAATATTTTTAATTAGTTAGTAAATATGAATCTATAAAAAAATAATAATATTTATATGCAGCCTGCTAAAATAATTCTTTAGCAAAACAACAATTTGAAAAAATGCAGACTATTAAAATCTAAAATAAGCAAAAGATTATTAATTTTTAAAAATTAACTACTTTTTTTAATAAAAGTAGTGAAATTTTGAAATACTCTAACTTCGGTCATTCATGGAAAAACAACGAAGGAAACAATTAGCAAGAATGTTGTAAAATGTTAGTATGTATAAAATGCAACTTAGTGAATATGAACTTGTGTTGCAATTGCGTAAATTTACAGGTAACTTTACCTGTAAATTTACCAGTAATTTTTGTTATTTTTATAATGGATACTCACCATGGTATTTTATTTGAATAGAGAATTTGTTTATAATTTTAAAATTACTCTGTTTTAAATCAAAATTTACTGGTCAATTTGCAGGTAAATTTTGATTTCAAAAAATACTGGTAAATTTAAATCACTGAATATAAAGTAATTACAAAACCATAATATATATTGCAACGGATTAAAATAGTTTTTTGTCAAGTTAATATATCTATGTCATCTATGGGTTTACGCAAGAAAGCTCGGATAGCTCGTGGTTTGAAGGTTGTGGATAAAGGAATGAGTAAAAGGAACGCAGCTATAACATTTGGCTTTAACAGATCAACTTTCATCGACAGAAGTAACGGCAAACATACTAAAAAAATGGCAAACCAATTATGTTGAGCGAAAACATCGAGGGCATTTTAGTAAAAATTTTAATATTTATTAATGATATTAATTTGACTATACTTGAAATACTGTGTGTAGTTAACTATTTGGTTAATTCAAGTCAAATGTGTTTTAACGGCGGCGAAGTTGCACTTGCCTGGTATTACTCATTTATTAGACGTCATTGTGAACTGCTATCGCTCAGAGCTTCAAATAATATGCCGTTAAACCGTGCAATGTCGACTCAGCCACGCACTATTGATCGATGGTATTTATTAAAATTATATGTTTATATGTAAATATATTTCATAACTAATTGTTATTTAATAAAATAAAAAAAAAGTGCAATTTTTAAAAGGTAAATTTCAATTTGTTTGTAATGTTTACAAATTCTCCTTTTTTTATAAACTGCTCAATTTATAGCATTTTAATAACCTACTTTATAATTTTTATTTATTTATTATTTTTTTATTTATTTCTTAAATCAAGGTTTGCACAAGTGTCTGATATGTAGAATATACATTGATTTGCAACTAAGCCATTCTATATTTTTAATTGCGACGAATCTGGTCTTCAATGTGATCAAGGCAAATTTAAGGTTGTGTGTTGGAAAGGTTCAAAAGGGCCTAAGAAACTTTGCAGTAGCAACGAAAAGGCTTCAATCACAATACTCATTTGTTGTGATGTTTTTGTAACATTCTTGCGTGTTCATGTTTTATTCTAAGGCTAAAGGTATTTACGATGAATTTGGGTATGTATTTTAAGAAGGATTTAAAACAGATGTGCTAATAATCCGGTAAACTCTGCATTTTTAAAACTACTATTTAGTTATTTGAAATTTTAGATTGATGTTCAAATGGCTTCTAAGTCAGTACTAATAGTGCTACCTATGGCGTCACATAATCTGGCTAGATGGAAGGACCTGCTTTTGCTAGATGGTTTAAAAAGACATTTGTCCCACATTGTTGCAAGCTTGAAGGATCCAAAGTCCTTTTTCTAGATGGCCATGCCTCACATGTAACGCTGGAACTAATTCACTTAGCAAAAGAGGAGAACATTATTATTTTAAGCTACCGGCTCATACATCTCATGTGCTACAGCCACTTGATGTAGACGTGTTTAGGACGATGAAAAGTAAATGGAGCGGAATCCTATACCAGTCACCACAATTCCAGAAATTCCTTCAAGTATACAAAAACATAGAAGTTCAAGCACACAAACTTCTTCGAGCTCATTAAAACAAATATCTCTTTTAACATGCTGCACAACTGCTTATGAGCATTCAAAGACATCAATTTTAAATGCTTTACATGTTGGCTTGCCCAAAATTTCCGTATCAGAGTCAATGCTAAATGTTTCTAATAATAGAATGCGCCTCATGAAAAGTTACATTATGATTTTTGAAGAATCTTTGATAGAACTTACAAATAAGCAAACAATGGCACAAAATAATAAGAACGAAACACAAGTGAGAAATGTTTTGCGTGAAAAAACAAAACAGGAGGCTAATTCAATTAAGAATCAAAAACGTTTGACAAAGAAAGTTGGTTTGTTTAACAAACCTACTATTAAAAAGCGGAAACGACAACTAGTGGAAGTTATCGAAACTCTGATTATGTCAGAATCCAAAGCGACTTCCATATATCAACACTGTAAATCTGATGGTTCTTTGAATTAAAAAAAATGTCAAGCTTGTGACATTTTTTTTGGAGATGAAACTGCAGCTCAACAATAATTAAGGATGCGTTGCAAATCCAGTGACATTGGATCTTGGAT